GAGGAAAATTCAATAAACGGTTCGCGATATTTTTTACAATTCAAAGATGATTTCTCAGGCTATGTGACATTATATTTTCTAAAGAATAAAAGTGATGTTAAAAATTATTTTTTGAATTATATGCAAAGACTTGAAAAGGAAACAGGAATGAAAATAAACATTCTTAGAACAGACAATGGCCTTGAATATGTAAACAAAGAGATGAGTCAAATTCTTTTTGATCATGGCATCAAGCATCAACGTAGTGTAATATATACGCCGCAGCAGAATGGCAAAGCGGAGCGCGAGAACCGCACACTCGTTGAGGCGGCGCGCACGATGTTATGTTCTAAGAATCTATCGAAAAAGCTTTGGGCCGAGTCTGTCAACACTGCTGCTTATGTATTAAATAGGAGTCGCAAAACATCGATTAAAGGCAAAACGCCGTTTGAAATCTGGCATAATAAAAAATGTAATATCAAATATTTTCGAGTGTTTGGTTCAGAAGCTTATGTACATATAAATAAGAATTGTAGAAAGAAATGGGACGTTAAATCAAAATTAGGCATTTTTGTCGGGTACGACGATTGTACAAAAGGATTCAGAATTTTAACCACAGAAAACAAAGTAGAAATTCATAGAGATATTTTGTTTAAAAATGAACACAAGTGTGGTGATTCAATTGAAGATAAAAATTATAATAGTTATTGTTTTTATAAAGTTCCATCTGAAAATGAACCAAAACAAACACTGATAAATCAAAACACTGATATTCCTGTGAATGATATAGTGCTTAATAACAATATTGAAAATGATGATAATCCTGGAATTATAAATAATTTTGAATTTGAAAACAATGAAAATGCTGTAAACGCTGAAAATGTTATTAGAAATGAAAATGTTATGAGAAATGAGCATGTCGAAAATGTAATAGAGCCTGCTGAAGCGGAGGCTGAAAATGTAGAAGATCGTAGATACGATTTGCGAGATCGTCGAACTTTGCGACCACCAGATCGTGGTGACACAGTTAATTATTATACCTTTGATTCTGACGATATTGAAAATTTATTTATCGCAAATTTCGATCAACCCACTAACTATGAACAAGCAATGAAATGTGAAAACTCTGCTTCTTGGCAAAGAGCTATGCAAGATGAAATACTAGCTTTAAATAAAAATGAAACTTGGATTTTAACAAATCCACCACCTAATGCTAAAGTTTTATCTAACAGATGGGTTTTTAAGATAAAAGATGAATCTAATGATAATAAGAAATTTAGAGCTAGATTAGTAATCAAAGGTTATTTACAAAAAGAAAATATTGACTATAAAGAAATTTTCAGTCCTGTAGCAAGGTACACGTCAATTCGAATTCTGTTAGCTTTGATTGCATCACAAAAATTGTTTTCTATGAAATTCGATGTAACAAAAGCCTTTTTGAATGGCGACCTGCTTGAGACAATTTTTATGAAGCAACCCAAAGGTTTTGAAAATGGTACCAATCAAGTGTGTCTGTTAAAAAAGAGTATATATGGTCTGAAACAGGCCGCACGATGTTGGAATGCCAAATTTGTAAAGTGTTTAAAGTTATTCAACTTGCATCCAACTGAAGCAGACCCTTGCGTTTTTATAAGCAAAGATACTGATGATCCTTTGTTTTTATTAATATACGTCGATGACGGTGCAGTTGCTTGTAAAAACAAACTTAAGGTACTTTCTTTACTCAAATACCTTGAAGAAAATTTCGAAATTACAACCGATTTGTTAAATGTATATTTAGGAATCGAAATTAACAAGCTGCCTAATGGCTCAATGCTTTTAAATCAAAGGTCTTATGCTGAAAAAGTAATTGAGAGATTTAATATGTATAACGCAAATAATGTACGAATACCAGCAGACCCAAATAGTATAAATACTATTTTTGAAAAAGGGGAGGAAAGTAAAGAGAGTAACTTTCCTTACAAAGAAGCGATTGGTAGTTTGTTGTTCCTCTCAAATATTACACGCCCTGATATCGCTTTTGCAGTGGGAGTACTTAGTAGATATAGTGAAGATCCCAAGAAAGTTCATGTAACTTCCGTAAAGAGAATTATAAAATACATCAAAGGAACATTAAAATATGGTTTGATCTACAAGAAAAATAATGATTGTTCGAAAATAACTGTTTTTAGTGACGCTGATTTTGCTAGCGATCAAGTAACTCGTAAATCAATATCAGGTTTTGTTATAAAACTAGGTGATAGCGTAATATCGTGGGGTTCACGTAAGCAAAGCACAGTTGCTCTTTCTACAACTGAATCTGAATTTGTAGCAGCGTCTATTGCGATTCAAGAAATGACTTGGGTAAAGCGACTAATGAATACTTTGTATGGCGACAATCTGCCAAAACCTATTTTATATGTCGACAATCAAAGCGCAATCCAAATTATCAAAGATTTGAGATACCATTGTAAAACAAAACATATTGACATTAGATATAAGTTTATCAGAGAGCATTATAATGATGGCATGTTTTCAATTGCATACGTAAATACAACTGATCAACAAGCGGATATTTTAACAAAGGCGCTTTCTGTGAAAACATTCGAGTATCTTCGAGACTTGATAAATGTGAACAAATTGTAATAAGCATGTAATTTTTATGATATATATATATATATATATATATATAGAACGCAGTCTTGTTATCCGCACTTGCGATTTTCAGTGGGAGTGTTAAGAATATATTTGAAAACCGCAGTTATACTTCTAATCGCAACGCCATCTATTGCTCTCTTTGTACCTTGCTCTCTAATGCGCGCGGTGGGTCCCAACACTCTCGCTTGGGCAATTCATCTGAGATGACGCTTAACGTCTTCAACGCTTAAAGTCTCGTCCTCACAATTCATATACCACTGTACACTTTCTTTAATAAAGTTTATTCACTGAAGCCTGCTATTATATTCACAATTATTCAATAAGAACCATTTTCGAAAAAAACGAATATTTTAATGCAGTATTTCTTGATGTAGCTTAGACTTTTACAGCCTGGCACAAAAGTTTATTGTATAAACTAAATAAAATCTTACCAAAAAATCTCTATCTACTCTTGGAGTCATACTTGAACTGTAAAAATTTCAAGGTTAAAATAAATAACAAAAACTACATAATAAAGCTAAATACTGTGGTATGTACTTAGATCATCGATTAACGTGGAGGGACCACATTTGGACCAAACATAAACAGATCAATTTATACAGTTAAGAAAATACTACTGGCTACTAAATAGAAAATCCAAATTGTCAATCAACAACAAATTATTGATTGACAAATGCATAATCAAATTAGTTCGGTCATATGGTATTACACTATGTGGCACAGCCATAAAATTAAATATTTATATCATTGAAAGATTTCAAAACAAAACTTTTACATATATCACAAATGTATCATGGTTTGTTACAAATGAGATAATTAAGAAGAACGTAAACACTCCGACTGTAAAAGAAGAAATAGAAGCTGTTTGGAAAAGATACATCAAACGGCTGAAGGAACATCCCGATCATCTAGTAAAGACAACAGTAACAGTCTCAGGATTTCAAAATTTGAAAACACCTTTTGTACATACTCAAAGTTAGCTCTGTAAAATGAACGTTTCGGTACGAATCAATGGTGAAGTACGTTCATGTAATGTAGAACCAGAATCAATTATTAAGATTTATTGTACAACAACATTTATTTATTGTCTATAAACAGATTATAAATATAGTTAGAAATAGAAAAAAGATTCTAACTATTATTAAAAAATAATCAAATGTACGATGACGTGTAAAACATATTGTGTAAATTAATCGTTTATTCATTTTTTAAATTCTAATAATATTTTATTTTTTAAGAAAATAGTATTTTATTTTTCGTGCTTAATCGAAAAGCATTATGTTAAAACAACTAAATAAATAAAAATTTATGTGGAATTAAATCATGTAGAATTGATATCTATACAGAATGAAGCAGAACTTTTTGATACAAATTTGTTCATTCCATCGAGCATAAATGAATTGTTGCAAGTTTAGTAGAATTTTGGAATGCTTTGACATTTTACATTTGATTTAAAAAACTTCAAATTGTAACAGCAGCAACATAAAAACACCATATCCTGTTTATTTGTTGATGGACAAGCATTTTTTTCTAATTTTTTAATGGACTTGTCATTATTCGTGGTTTTATATGTATTGCAGTGGGTAATTAACTGCTGAGAAAAGTTGACGGAAGAAACTTTAAAGATCGATAGTTCATGTCATTAAAATATTGATAACCACGATGTTAATGATCGCGCAAGAACCTTTGCATTTTCATTTCGACAATATCCGTTTGAAGTTAAGGTATAGATACTCGATATTATATATTCATTTACGACGGTAATGAAATCAACGATCCAATAATTTTGTTCCCTGGTTTATCATCGCGTGTAGTTAATTAATGTTTTAATTACTTAAAAGTATAATTGGCGCGATGAGGAGTGAAAATGCAGCGATGAAAAAAATTTTAGTTTACATACTATATAAGTGTTCGATTGGATTCAATCTTTAGTATTCAGATTAAAAATGGTCATTTCTAAATAGTTCGGTGCGCATTTTTAGTTTAAATTGTTATACGTATATGCTTACGAGGATTTTGAAAGTTTTATTCATATTATAATGCGAACGAAATAAATAATAATTAGTAGATTTTTTTAACTTGAATAATTGTACAATGAAACTTATTTATTATATTCAGTTGATTACAAGAGCTCAGAATATTTGGTAACATATGGTAACTCTTAGCGGCAACTTATCCAATATTCATTAATTTTCTTTGAGACTCCGTGCGTGAGGACTCGATTGATCACGCTCGGGAAAGTAAGCGTGCTTCAAATCTCGCACACGTCCTATACATATATATATATATATATATATATATATATATATATATATATATATATATATATATATATATATAAATCAATTTAGACGCATGCGCGAAAAAGTGATTTCACCCTCGAGTGGCCCCTTCGCTCGGGCGCACACGTCTACGTAGGCTCAAATCATTTCCTCGCGCTAGTATTGAAGTATATTATCGCAGATAGGCTAGTTGTATATTATGGGGTAATCCATCTTCACTTTAGAATCCAGTATCACCCGTTAGCAATAATTGATTGTACATAAATCATAAGTCGTAGCAAATCAACAATATATATTTAATGGACGAACTGATGAAATTTAAAATCACTCGTAATTTCTCATTTTTTCACATTGTTCTTCGTATATTTTAATTAGGAAAAATCGAAAGTTTTTGCACGGTGAAGAAGGCCTTATTTTCAAATATCGAAATGTCATATTCGAGACTGGTTTATTCACTATGAACGTTACATAAAAAAGTAAAATAAATAAATTTATTAAGTAAAAAAAGGGTCCTCGTTTGCTTGTCATCTTTTACCGTAAATTAAATGAGATTGAAATTGTGTATTACATCGATCTAAAAAAATATTCTATTAATTTCGAAATAAATACCGCGTTTTATTGACAAGTCACTTGTGGAAGGTCGCTTTGATATTTATTTTATTGCGTATGGAATAGTCATTACTTATCTAACATGCATAGATCATGGACATATATCAGATTTATGATTGCTCAAATTATTCGAAAGTTACTTTTACATTAAGACGTACAGTTATTTGAAAACATTTATTTTGAAACTCAAAAGCTCCGTTAGCACTTAAATAAAGATACTTTTTAAATCAACATACTTTTCACAAGAACGCACAAAAAAATTTTATTACTAAAGTAAGTTTCAAACGAGCAGCACAGCAGTCACGTTTTGAAAGCTTTTAGCAAGTAAAATTAACTAGTACATTTCATATGCATGCGAATAGCAGATAACTGAATACATTTGTTTTGATGGTAAACCAGACGAAAACCATTCTTTAGAAACTTGTAAACACGGTGTGCGTGAAAATAGAATAGGTGATATTTCGTTGACGTCTGTAACGTCTAACGTACAAATAGTGTCAAAATAAGTTATAACATATGTATACCTTTTTTGCAAAGCGATAGAAAATCCGATGTAGTTGTTTTACGGTAGATTGATTTTAGGTGATTGTCGTTGTCAAGTCAATGGCATACATTAAACCAGCAGCGATATTTTTCCTTTTTGTTTTTATTTATAAGACACAAGCTTCATACAGGATGAAGTTCTCAACTCTTAACGATCTTCTAGGTTGTGAACTACGGTTTAGTATACATTTTTCATATACATACGCATTTAGATTTTTTTCTGAAATGACTTCGTTTTATATATCTCATATATTCTTTTAACAGTACACGCAAAGTTTATGTCCACAGATAGTTGAGATTTCGCAGAGTACAAAATGTAACACTGTATAATGTACACTTCTACGTCCAGCTGAAGAAACAAATGTTATTATTTTTAACCTGATAGAAACGTACATCTTAAATGCGCAATTTAGTTCTTAAAAAGAAATTCACAACGAATGGCACACGAGTATATTACAGAATTGGTAGTTCATTAGAAATGAACAAGTCAATAATTTAAAAATAATTCAGAACTATGTAATGAACGACAAGCTATTAGAGAATAATTAGTAGACATTGAATTTATATTTATCTAAAGTTAATATTTTTTTCAATCTTTTCCAAACTCGTCCAAATAAATATCTAATCCTGATAAAATATTCTTACATTAAAAAACTTATCTCGAGGATTTGGCATTTGTATATCTTATAATACACCTATAGCGAAAATCTTTAACAGCTTTTTAAATCACAAAACATTAATTATATGAATACTATTAATGATGTCAATCAAAAAAATAAGAATTATTCTAGACGAATTAATTTTTAGTGAAATAATTATCTTGTAAAAGTGTATATCATTTCACTCAAATAGAAATTCGTTGAAACTATTATGCGATTTTGGTTATGTACAGAAATAGAATACTAAAGTAGAGTAAAAAAATCACAATATCATCTTTTGGCTAGATGATATTAAAATAAAAATAAAAAAACTGTAGAATGCATGGAGGAAATGCATGACAGATTTTAGTGCTCTTATTCTATTAAATCTATCGATATATTATTTTATGGCGTTCACATACGCTTCAGCGATAATATAAAAACGATCAAAACTCAAGTATTAATTAGAAAGAATATCCGAGGAGAATGAATATCAATGTAAAACTTGACAATATCAGCAATAGAATATCAACTTAACGCACTAAAAAAATAGAAACGCGCAATAAAAACAATTTATCAAGCTAATTTTTTAATACTAAAAGTAAGTGTAAAGAAAAAAAGCAGTTAATACTTTCTGAGTAACTTTTTCCCTGGTAGCGTGTTGTTTGGTCACATAACGCTAGCTTTTCGAAACGATAATTTTCTTCAAGTATATAATTTAGAATGCCAACGAGTATAAGTGCAATATCACTTCTTATTATGTCTTATCTTTCTTTGTGCGACTGGGCCTTGACTCTCTTTTTCCAGAATTTTGTTCTTTGGCTGTTTCATCGGCATTTTCGTTGTCCTGTTTAGAGTCGTCATCACTAAACTGTATACTACTGCTGTTGGCTCGACTATCCAGATCGTCAGCGATGTCTCCTTGCTCTAAGAAGTCTGTTGGTACAAACTCCATTTGTTCTTCAGCGTAGTTGTTTGTCGAATCATCATCTAAGTCAATAAAAGAGTAATCCATTAAGTAAAGAAGAATGATACGGCGTCTTAATAATGTAAGTTCTAAACAATCCATACCCATGTCAGAGCCTTCGTCAGCGAGTTCAAAGTCGTCCCCACCAGGATCGTCGTCATCTAGTTGTAACAGTTTATCGAGACTCGATTGACTTGGTGTAATATCCTCATCGTCGACGTTGTCGTCCGTGTAGACCGGATCGGAAGGACTGTGAACGACCTCGAACGGCTCGACTTTGACCATAGGCGACAGCGATCTCTGACGCTGGCCTGCGGCAGTTGGCGGCTGCTGCAGACGAATTTTGGTGAAGGGTCGAGCCTCGGGGACTTCGCTCAAGGTACGACGCTTCTGTCCGCGCTTCGGGCTCGAAAGGTTCGGCGGCGTTGAAGTGACGAGAGGTGGGCTAATCGATTTTGCCGGCTTATCTTTGGTTTCGGTGACTGGAGTGCGGTTGAGTGGTTGCGACGTAGGTACCGGTGGCTTGGTTTGGGGTATCAGCAGGGGTGGCTTTGGATTCTGAAAATGATATCAAGCGACAACACGTGACATGCCGAACTTGAGCTAAACTCGGCGCGCCGTGGCCGATGTTTACCTGTGAGTTACTTGGTCCGGCCAAACCCTTGACTTGCAGCGCTTCAGCGGCATTGAGTAGCTGTGGAAGTTTGTCGTGGGTAACGTTCACCTCGCCCCGGTACATGAACTTGACGAGAGCCTCGATCTCCCAGAACTTGAGATCGCGCATTATGATGATGGGGTGCTGGCACGGGTTTTCGCGGAGTAGTTGAGCCAGATAATCGCTGCACGACGACAAGATCATCTTGTGGCACTTGAGCGAGCGACCCTCGCACGCCAGCGTCACGTCTACGAATTGCTCGCTATCGAGCAGCGATGGGAAGCTGTGCTGCATGTTGCTGTGGTAACTGTTCCACCTCAGGCAGACCTATCGACACGATCGTTATATCGCATTAATCGACGAACCTGCTATGAATAATGGACGACAGCAGATCCGAATTTGTACGATTGGCGCTCGACAATCTCGTGAATATATCTAATCGAGCCAGCAACGACCGAAAAGCTGTGCGTTGTCGCAAGCGAAAAATAGACGCGCGTGATTGAATCAAGCGAATCGATCGGCATGCACGTCTGGAAAGAAAGGTAAAGAGAAAAGAAGGTGACTGACCTCGGTGGGTGGCTGCGGCAAGACAACTTGAGGCAACGCGTGTTGTTGCGCCGGACTCGGTCGCATGGCCGCGGGCACTTTGATGGTGGTTGGCGCGATCTGCTTCACCTTCAGCGGGATTGTCTTGAGCACGAGCGTCTTCGTCGGTCGTTGCGATTGCGAGGACGACGAAGACGTCGACGAGGGTGGAGATTGTCGGCGCTGCTGCTGCTGCTGCTGCTCGTGCTGCTGCTGCTGAGCCTGGGGTTGCTGTGGCTGCTGCTGCTGCTGCTGGTGGTGCTGGTGTTGGTGCTGGTGCTGCTGCTGCTCGTGCTGGCGATGAGCCGACTGCTGGGAAGTCGGAGCAGGAGCGATGCTTCGCATGTGGCGCACGAGATTCTGAGTGGCCAGCCGCATCGCCTTGTTCAGGTTGCCCTGATCTGGATCTCGCTTTCCGAATTCGCCCAACACTGGTAAACCCAACGGCAAGCAAATTAATCGGGTTTCGACGAAATATTGGTCGCAACGGTTGGCGGGGATATGCCATTGATTTCGTTTCGGTGCGTAGTAAAACGAAGCCTTTGGATTGCGAATGAAGGGACATTCGAGGAGACGCGCGAGGACACGTTAAGAAGCGAAAGTTTACCGTGGTATCGTCTACCGATGAGTCTGCCGCCATGATGAACCCGAAGGTGTCGGTGCAAATTGGTGGTGCCGCATTGCCTGGGATTGGCACCGCCCCTGACGACGACAGCGCCGCAGATACGGCACTGCGCCCTGAGCGGATCGTTGGAGCAGAGATCGAAGTGCGCCCAGACGGCGCTGGGATTGGCCATGGCTCGCAAGCTCCGCGAGTGCGAGCGCACTCTGGTCAGCATCGGGAACGAGCGCGAGTGCGACACGGGGGCGGACGACGAGCCCGTGCTCGTGCTCGTGGCGTTGCTCGAGCTGGTGTTGTGATGGAGATGCGGCTTGGCGACAGACGCGTCGCTCTCCTCCTCTTCCTCGTCCTCGTCCTCGTCCTCGTAGTAGCTCTCCTCGTCCTCGGGCTCTTGCTTCATGGTCAGGACCTTCTTCTCCTCGTCGGGCGGGCTGCTTGGCTTGGCTGTCGGCGCGGGGCTGTTGGTGCTCGCGCTTATCGACACCTTGCCGTTGCGCATCCCGCACGAGATCGTCTTGGCTGCGCGCTTCGAGTCCGACGCCACCAGGCTCCGATTGCTACTCTTCAGCGACATCCTGCCGGGCATCAGTTCGTTTGTGCTTGACTTTTTGCGCCGCCCGACTACGTGCCCGACGGCCTTTCGCCGCGCGAACGCCTTATTGGGGTTGCGTGCACTTTTGCGATTTCTCAAAACCCTTTCAGCTGTGTGTCTCGCGCTTTATTTTCCCGAATGGGCTTGTGGCTCGACAATTTAACCGCGCGCGCGGAGAGAAGCTGATGCATGGAGCGTTTCATGGAAAGCGGATCTTTTGAAATTACAGGGACTGGCGATGGCAACGCCGAGGGCATTTTACGGGTGAAATTACTCCCAGAGAACGATTTGGCCCGAAGTGCAGCAGCGAAAATGGAAATGCCGAAAGGATTCGAATGAGAAAGCGACGCTCGGGATGAAGTCCGCCGCGACGGCCAAGGCGGAAGCTTAAAAGTGCCGATCAATGGCATGTATTACCTGTGCGTTTTCCAAGTGGCTGCGCGTAACAACAGCTCAAGCCATGAGCTTTATGCAAGTCGCGGACGAGTGCGCGCCAACGAGCGTATCGACGAGCGTATCTGGAAACACAGCAAAGCGAAATGGTGCCTCTTACTGTCTGCGTGCGTTGGCAAGTCGTCGAGTCGCAGCCCCGAGGTCGGCGGCGGCGGCGGCGGCGCGCGAGAGCTTCATCTCCAGCTCTGCCCCCGGCAGATCTGGCGAGGAAAGCGTCGCGCGCGGAAATAGCCTCGGGCCGCGAGCGCGTCGAGTCGCACGCGCCGATCTTTAGCCGCAAGCTCGCGCAGCTCGTCGAGCGGCGACGTTGCCGGTCTCCCTCGCTATCGACTCGCGCGAGTTCTATAAAAAGCCGCGGCGTGCGACGTTGGCCGCCACATACCGACCCGATAATTTCCTCGGCAGTGCGCGTGCCTGGCGCTCGCATAGTCGCTCGATTGTAGTCCGCACTGCCTCGACACGCTTCGCCGACGACTTGTGCGACGCTTCGATCGGAATGTTTCTCTTGGGAGAGCTGCCGCCGCGCGGGCACCGTTGCTCATAGCGATCTTGTCGGCCGAGAGCGCCGAGCGCTGTAATTTCCCGGCGCCGCTTCGGGCTCGAACTCACTTTACTTCTAACTCTCTGCACCGACGAAACTGATTGCTTCGCTTGCGTCTCCACGCTCGCCTCGTCTCGAACGTTTACGTCGAGAGCGTGCGTTACCTTTCCCCAAAAGTGCAGATGACTACAATTGCAGCATCGCGGCATTCGACCCAATCTATCGGAAAGTTGTGCCGTCGATTGTGCACGGCGCGCCCGGCAGATCGCTAACGATCCTCGAGGAAACGAGCACTCCTTTCGAATGTAATCGACCGAAAGTAATGCCAGCCCAAAACGAGCCAACGAAAAAAGCACAGCGAGCGTTCCAATATCGGCTGACGTTTTATCGTCAGCCAGCTCGGCGCGGAGCGCGCGTGTCACTTGGAAAGTATCGTTAGCGAAATCACGTGCTTGTCATTTTAGAACGCGGCGCGACGCGATGTGAAAGAGAGGGAGAGAGAGAGAGAGAAAGAGAGAGAGAGAGATGAGTCGAGCGCTCGGTCGTGTCGACGTCGCGAATCCCTCCGCAATAACGAACGAACCGCGACGTGAAAATAGACAAGTTTGAAGGACAGAAAAACGGTCGTTCGACACTTACCTATTCAGTGTCGCGCGATAATGCAACTCGGACGCTACATCACCGAAAGCCAAAATGGAGCGTCCGAAAGCGCGAGTCGAACGGGACGCGAGCTCGCGAGCGGGTACACCATTCGCTTGCTATCCCGACAGATATTTGCAGGACGCTCGACCGACGAGAGGAGACGACGCGAGGCACTGCTTTCTCGGCGAGTCACCGCGCGCAAAGAGGGCGGACACGTGCGACTCGAAGTCCTGTCGGGCATCTCCCGGGAGCTCGCCGCGCGCCTCGCAATACCCGTCGCCGTAGCACTAACGATTTTCGCGGACACAGACACAGGCGCGGCCCGCGCACAGAATCGCCGGGGAGGCGGCGCGCACGTCCAGCACTGGTCTACGCTGCCGAGGGCGCCTGACCGAGCCCCCGCGGCGGGCGGACCATGGCCATCGGGCAGCGGGCCGCGGCGAGAAAAAGTGCGTTTGCGCGCGCGGCACGACGGAGCGACCGAGAGGCGCGTCTCCCGCTCTCCGTCTTTCTCTCCGGGCCGTTGGCGACGGTAATCGTTATCGGCTGCCGAGGCGAGTAGGCGCGCGCATCGTTATCTCGGTGTGCGTCGGACAGATGACACACACACGCGCGCTTGCTCTCTCTCTCTCTCTCTCTCTCTCTCTTTCTCCCTGCCGTGCGCGACTCCGCCGTTTGTTTTCGTTGCTTTATCGCCGCGGCACTTTCGGCGGACGACGCGATCAATCGGCCGAGGCCACTGTCTGGCGACACTGCACTGCACGGCACGACGCTACCTTGCGTCCCGGCGGGGAGGCGGAGCACCTACGCAGCTGCTGTCCTGCGGACGTCCCGCGGAAATCGCGGTTCGGCGAGGATTTTCGCGCATACATGCATGCGGAGCACTGCGAGCGAGAGAGCGCGCGCGTCTCCCTATCGACCGATTCGTCTCTCTCTCTCTCTCTCTCGCTCTCCCGTCGGCGCAGATGCCTGCTCCAGAGCGAGCACACGCGCGCAGACTGCCCCTCCTCTCCGCGTCGCCGTGCCAAACGGCGCGGCGCGGGGCTCGCCAGCTCCGGCTCCGCCGATGGCGCGCGCGAACGGCGCCAACAGCTCGCGGCGCTCCGGAAAATCGAGAACCGTTGTTTGCTTGCGCGCGCCGCCGCCGCCGCCGCCGCCGCCGCCGCCGCCGCCGAGGGTGAGAGCGGGACAGAGACGGAGAGACGGCGAGCGAGAGAGGGAGAGAGAGAGAGAGCGAGAAGGCGCGCGATCGATTTTCCACCAGGTGTTCCTTCCCCTCTCCTCGCGCGCGCGCCCGTTCGCGTGCTATATCCGTCCCTCCAGATTTACTCGCTAGACAGGCCGCTGAGCTGCTGTACCTACAAATGCACGCTGCCTCGCTTGCTCTGCCTGCTCAACCGCCGAGGGATAGACGGAGGGAGAGAGAGAGAGAGAGAGAGAGAGATAAAGAGAGCACGAATAGATCGGCCAAACTGAACTAGCCGATTCGTACCAAACAAAAGCTAAGCGAAACTACTGCCCCCTCCCCTCTCGCTCTCGTGCTCTTCGCGGATTGGTAATCGTATGAGTTTGGTGTACCTATTCTGCGTCCCACGGTGCGAGCGATGATTCAGATATGCAGACAGTAGGATAGGTTGGTTTGCCGTGGCTGAGGCGTCCTCGGATCGGGGATCGGCTGCTACGAGCGTGGCGACGCGTAGGCAAGCGGCGGCGGAGGAAGGAAGGGCGTTGCAAGCCGAGCGGTGGAGCGTGAGAGCGCGCGGAGAGCGATTTCTGCCCCCTAGCCGAACCCGGCGACGACTAAAATCGAAATCGGTGGCGGCGCGGCCGAGCGGCTCGGGAGCTCTCTGGCTCGCTGCCGCCGCGCGCAGACGCCGTGCGCATGTGCGGCGTTCAGTTCAGTTCAGCCGCCACCTAGCCGGTCCTCCTCGACTTCGCTCCGCGCCGCCGCTGTGATTGGCCGATACGCCCGCCTGCAGCACCGACCACGCACCAGATGCTACCGTTTTCTCTTCCGGTATGCCATTGTCGATCTCTTTCTCTCTCGCCTCCGTCGCCGCGGCGGGCGATCGCTACGCGTCCGCTTCTCTCGCGCTCGTCGCTTGTATTCGCCGCTGCTTTTTTTCCCTTGTCCCTTTTCCCTTTTCCCGTGTGCCCGCCGAGCTTTCTTCTCTCTCCTATTTTTAGGCTCTGTCCGCGTCGCGCGAGCGCGACTCGGCCATTTTATTTCTCTCCTCCGAGACGAGCTGCCGGCCGCGTCGGCATCGGTAAATCTCGAGCCAACCGATTTTAACGATGACTCACCACGCTACGCAAGGCTTGCCTCTCGTTTGACCATCACTGGCTCGGCGCGACAGCGTGCAATTTCAGCCGTTTGCACGTTCTATTGGCTTAATTGCTGTCGTCGCTTCCTCGTCGTCCGCTGCAGCGACAAGCCGTCCGAATCAAAGACTCCGCTCGGGAGATCGAGTACCGTCCATTTTGGAAAAATCGTTGGCGTCGCTCCTCACCGCTTGGCGTCACTCGACAAACTGTTCGGCAAATATGCGGCCGCGCGGTTTTTCGATAAAAGCGGAAGTAGCGTTTCCTACCGCAGAGCACATATGTCGGAGTAACCAACTTCCATAATCGCTTCGACGGATTCCAACTCGCGAACAACAATGAATCGTTAAGAGTAACTGGAGAATCCCCGCGGCGCGCGTTGAGTAACGTCTCGACGAGAGAAGATCGCGAGCGAGCTGCCATTAGAAAAAAAGCTGTCGGCTCACGGACGCTGACAGTCCGATTGTTTGGGAAAAAAAAAAAACTGCGCGAACAATGCAGCAGTTTGACAATCAAAGTGACGCGCGGATCTCGATGTAAAATAACAAACGATCAACAAGCGCGTTTTCGGAATCGCTCGTACTGCGGAGTCGGTGACGTAACGACATAAGGCGATAACGCTCGGATCCGAAAAGACGTATGATACAACGATCGATCGTTGTAAGGACGACTGGGATAGGGTTAAACATCGAATGGCGTCCAGTTCGAGCGACGAAGGCAACTGCGATTGCACCCTCGGATCGTATCGGAAAGGCGCGCGCTCGAGTACAGCTCCTAGCCGTTATCCGCTCTTATATTTGAGCGCGACGTTCTCTCTCTCTCTCTCTCTTTTCATACTCTCGTTCGCGCTTCGCTCGTCCGTGCATATTTCTTGCCCTATTACACGTATGCATGTGAGTGTGTCGCACGCTCGAGCCACGCGTTTTATGTCTCACTGGCTCTCTCTCCTCTCTATTGTCGCAGCGTCGAAACAAACACTCGACTCAGTCTGAGCGTCGGGAAGGGGTGTGAGTGCAGCTGGAATTTGGCGTATGCGCGAGCAAGGCGTCCTTCCAGTTGCCGATTCGCTCCGCCGTCGCTCGTCACAGCGACTCGACGGCGTCTAGCAGACGCACAAAGAGACAGCGATGGAGAAGATTTCGTAGCAGAGCGATAGAAAGAGAAAGCTAAAGCACCGTGCAACAAAGGACTCGTAGCTGCGTCCGGCGCGAGCAACAACGTCGAGACGTTTCATCGCACGCGCGCGCACACACACACGGCATGGCGATTGGCGAATGGCCCATCCCCCGCGCACACTTGCGTCATGCGCGCGCGAGATGAAGATAAAAGAGACGCGTGCTCTGGCTGCTGCGGCGACTCGATCGACGTACTAACCGGGCCGAGTACATCGAGCTGCAGGTATATATGTAGTCGCGAATCGATCGTCCCCTTGCTCCCTCCCTTTCGCTCTTTCTTCTTTCTTTTCCAGGCAGCTGTGCGCGCGCTGTAATAGTGGCGCAAGCGCGATTGGGGGATCGGTTCGGCGCGTCCGCGCGCTTTTTGCACGCTGCGCGGGGCTCGCCGCGCGCGCGCGAGCGGCTGTTCCGCGTCGATCGCTCGATCGCGATACAACGCGATTCGCGTCCGCGTCCCACCGACTCTACGCGACTCCAAGGTCGACGCGGCCCTCCTTGTTTTCTCGTTGCTTCTTTCTTAGCGCCGAACCATAGGCTCCTCGGGAAAAACATTCGACTTTCTTCGCCACTTGATCGTTGCGACGTTTCCGCAGTTTTTCAATCGATAACGGCGATCTTGCTTGCCCAAAATGTGCACCCGCCAGTCGGACGTTCCTATCGACACTCGCTGTCATTACTTGCAGTCTTCTCGACAAAATATTTTTATTTTCAGCAATGCGGAAATAACACGTTTGTCCTAGTCATGAGAAATCTTTCGGAAGGAAATGGAAATATTGAGCCGTTCCCGCGTATGCATAGAATGTTTGCGCGTCTCAACGAATCGACGAACAAATATAAAAAACCAACTCGCGAACGCTCCTTGTTCCGCTAACTTGTGTTTTACATTGACTTTATACTTAATGGCTTGCTGCCACGACAATGTGGAGCTTTCAAGACTGACGCAAGGTTAATGACGTAACACGAGTCAACGCGAATTGCATTTAACAGATAGTTGTCAACAAAATGTCCGATCATTCGTGATCGAACGGCATTTAAAGGGATAGCATGTGAATATCGATTGGCTTGAATCGATAGCACCTGAGCACCAGTTACGCGCGTTTTTCTTTCGAATCTTTCAAAGGTATCAACGCTGTTAATACTACTTTATTTTTATTTGTGCGATACTATTAATTTTCGCGTGCATGTCAATCCAAAAGGCTTCATTTTACGTTTTCAAGATGAATGTCAACTTAATGATTGCGAAAAATTATTTACAAACTTTCTATTTACGCACTTTCTATTTAGTTATGAACGACTCACCATTTGCCGAAGTCTTAACGCCGCGTCGAGGAGGAGCGTTATTTGCAGATCTCCTCTTTGCAGTAACAGCAGAAGCTCCATCTGTAATTTCGAGAAAAAAATTTTGTTTGCAGATGAAAATTGCACGTGCAGCATTCTATTTTCCGTCAGATAATATTTCGTCAGCGACATATTGAAAAAAACAAAATTATAACATTCTTTTGTGTAAGCCGAACTTTGGATAAAAACTTGCTTCATTGTGCTCAAGCTCCATTTTAATCGTGAAAAGATTCGGATAATTAGAAAAATCCAAGCCTTTTTTCTTGATTAAAAACTCTAGTCAAAGTAATTTCCACTTTCAATTTGAATTCAGTGCGTCAATATATATATATATATATATATATATATATATATATATATATATATATATATATATATATATATATATATATATATATATATATATATATATTTAATACGGATAACTTTGTTATTCCTTTGAAAACTCTCGCACAAGTAAAAACTATTAGAGCAAAAATAAAATAACAATGAATTATTGTCGAAAAGCATACCGGAATTATGCAGCCAATGGTGAAGTGGTTCACCGAAAGTTCTATAGCGTTGTCTGGCGATTTCAACCGCTGCATAATCAGTCGGATGGTCGTGAGACATTCGCACGTAAGGTATTCTACACTCGAGATTTGTAATGAGGCTACCGCGGCACTGGTGTGTTCGTAAAACGCAGCGCCAACGGATGCTTTGCGATGATTTCTTGTGCAATGTATACATGAAACCTTGGTAGATTAACTTCGGGCCACCCTTGTTGGAGATAACTAACTGTAACGTTTAGCACAAAGTCTTTCATTATTGACTATGATTAACAGCTGCGTCACTCGCATTTCTACTAGTTAAACTTAATGTTTCGTATGAATGAAAGTAGGCTAAGATAATTATTTAGTGACTGTTATTACTTAAATATATTTCGACAAAGCGTTACTTCCACGTTTGATTCAATCTTTATTAGATTACTTTTCAACACTATTAAACTATTTAAATTACTTGTAACGTTTTATCAATTTTGAAAATATTCAAATTTCTATGATTATTCAAAAAAAACCAAATATTCATAGTGTTATTTACTATTAAAACTATAATATTTTTGTTATTTCATTTTACATTACCACACATAACTTGTTTTGATCAAAGTTGAAAAATATTAACAAAGAAAAAAAAAGTAGGTTAGCTTATAAGTAGGTACATCTTATTAATTCTTGATGAAATTGCAAAAAGGTATTATCTATAATACTTAAACGTTTAATGTTTAATTATTATAATCGAAATAATCAACTATACATCTATGCTTGAACTAAAGTATACCTCAGGAACTTCGGACTCTTCGATCCTTTCTTCTTTTACGCTTACAATCATATTATCAGTCACTTCTGTCCCCATTGTGAAGCAAAATACTGATTAATTGGTGCAAATTAATAACACACAATCAACCCTGCAAAAAGTTCTCTATATTAGGGATGGATTTGTTAGCGAAGATATTTTATTCATGATCTGATAAGGTCGTTAAAGTTAACCTCTAAAAATAAATTTTTTCGACTTTTCGAAAAAGAAATTAGTGCAATCGATTCCGCATCAATTAATTAAAAGAAAATTCAACAGATATTTGTTTGCTCGTCACCGCTTTCAATGATTAAATTGCTATTTTCGATTGAGTCAATATTCAATAATAATGCGCTTTTAAATAAAAGTAATAAACTCAATTAATTCCACGTGCAGAATCAACGGTCATCAATCTATGCGAATATCAAGGATTGATTAAATAACAATAAAATATCAAGTACCAGTGGTTGTCAATCGGCTATTATTCAAATTGAAGCGGCTTTCAGGGCGCTGTCGTGGGCGCACAGATGGCGTTGCAGTCGGTATCGTAATTTATGTGCTTATTAGTTTACGTTCCAAGTTATATTATTATGTAGGCAGCATAATACTATAACGTTTAAGTTCTCCGTTGATTTTTTATTTTTATATAATTATATAATTGTCAATTGATGTGACTTTAAATAAGTGATATACACTGTACTATACTGACCGCAGCGCCATTGTGCGTCCGTGATGGTCTTTGGGAGCCACCACAATTTTAATGATAGTTGATTGAAAATCACTGCCAGTTGAATTTTTATCATTATTTAATAAACCCTTCGCATTTTCATGAATGTAATTACAAGGGTTGATTCTGCATTGAGCGCGAAATCGATTGATATTTTTATTTTTATTCAAAAGCGCATTATTATTAAATATTGATTTAATCTAAATATGCGGACTGAGCTTCAGCCTCTAAATCGAAAATTGCATTTTAATCATAAAAATCGGCGACGAGAAAACAAATACCTGTTGAACTTTCATTCAATGAATTGACGTGGAATCGAGTGCATTAATCATTTTTCCAAAAAATCGAAAAAATTGATTTTTAGGAGCTAACTTCCACGACCTAATCTGATTAATTAAAAGGTAGAGAAAAAGGAAAATGGAAAAAATTGCAAGGAATCGGAAAGATTATAGAAAAACTAACAGTGATTGGCAATAATAGGAAAATCCATTAACAAATCCACGCAATTAGGTTTTCATTGGAAAAAAAATTCCTAATGTCAAATACCTCAAATTCAGTGTTCTGCAAATTCGTGAGTGCTATCATAGGTGGATGTTAAGAATTTTTCCATTCGTTAGTAAAAAATTTACGCAATATTTTTGTGCTTTCAGTTTTTTAATGAGATCCTCCAATCATTATTAAATATTTTGTTTTTGCGGTATTCCGGTTGGCATAGTAAAATAAACGAGCGAATCCGCGCATCTGTCACTACACCTCTACTCCACAACTCTGCCACCCGGAATATATATAACGCAAAAAGAAAATAATTATTTGATAATGATAGGAGGATCTGATCGAAAAATCGAAAGCACAAAAAATTGCACGGATTTTTTGCTAACAAATGGAAAAATCTTTTTTAACATCCAACTATTACAGTACTCACGTAGTTCAGAGAACATCAAATTTGAGGTATTTGTCATTAGGAATTGTTTTTTTTAATGGAAACATAATTGCGTAGATTTGTTATTACATTCTTCTATCTTTGCTAACCACTCGCAGTTTTCGTATAACATTTCCAGAGCCATTCCTTACAATTTCTCCCCAACTTCGTTTATCTCAAAGGTAGTTACGTGGCTTATATGACAGCACTTATGTACATGATTAGTAATAGAGTAATTTAACAAAGCAACTAACATATTCACCAAATTGACGCCAGTTAATAGTTCGAGGCGTTTCTCATTAATTTATTATGAATTGAATGAATGAAAAAGCAGGATAATTCGTAGGCGTTAAAGAAAAGACATCGACATTCATTCAACAATAAAAGTGATTTTTATACTTTTCACTTACATTTGTTTCCTGAACATATACATTTATTATAATTTTATTTACAACTTACATTTGTTACAACTAATTAACAACATAAAGTCAGAAAAAGGTCCTGGCTTTGATAAAATGATAAAGCAGTTGCCATTAAAAGCAATTCACCTCATAACTATAATTTTTAACGTATGTTTACGCCAAAGTTACTTTCCCACACAATGGAAAATAGCTAAGATTATCTTAATACCCAAGCCTGGAAAGGATATTAAACTGATTACTTCATGCATACCGATAAGTCTATTATCAATATTATCAAAAATTCTGGAAAAATTAATATTAACTAGAATCAACCCAATAATTAAAAACAGCAAACATTCTACAATCGAACAATTAAATAGAATAGTGACAGCTGCTAGGAAAGCTATCGTAGAAAAACAATACTGTACAGGCTTATTTCTAGACGTAGCATAAGCATTTGATAAAGTTTGGCACAAAGGAATGCTACACAAACTCAATGGATTTTTTCTCAAGCAACACACAAACTCAATGGATTTTTTCTCAAGCAACACTACCACCTGTTACATTCATATCTTAAAAACGGAGCATTTCACGTTAAAATAAACAGTAACACACGATAGCAACATATAATTAACGCAGGAGTACCACAGGGAAGTGTTTTATCCCGACATTGTACCTGTTATACACTTCGGATTTACCTAAAACGTCCAACATTATAACAGCAACGTATGCAGACGATATAGCTATACTAACGTCATATCTTGATCTTAAAATAGCAACAGAAATCATCCAAAACTACCTAGACAAACATTTACATAAATTGGCTAAATTCATGGCTAAATTAATCACAGTTAATGAATACAAATCAATACAAACAACATTTACACTTTGGAAAGATATCAGCGTACAAATCAGACTAACGGAAAACAGCACATTTTTACAAAATGCAAACAGTTAGGGCTCAAAGGGAGAAAAATGTACTTGCTTATCACAGACATATCGAAACTATTAACAGAAAAAAAAGTTCTACTATACAAAGCAATACCCGTTTGAACTTACGGAAAACAATTATGGGGCACTTTTTTAAATTCAAACATAGAAATACTGGATAATAGAAGATTTCAATCAAAAGTCCTACGTAAAATAGTACGAGCACCGTGGTTTGTTTCAACCGAAATCATCAGAAATGATCTACAAATTTCATTAGTAGAATAAGAAATAAAGAACTTCTATACAAAATATAAATCCAGGCTAGAAAACCATCCAACTAAACTTATAAACGAATTTCTGAAAATAACCATCACGAAGACATGACTTAAGCATGAATTGACGAGATCATAGCTAGAAAAAAAATCAAACAAAAACTAGCATAAATTAAAACTAGGACAGAGTGCTCAACGAATTCTCCGAGTTAAACTCATGTAATCTATATCTAAATTGCAACCAAGTTTACTTATGTATTACAGATTATAAATAATCCAGGAGTAATAAAAAAATTAATATATACATTGATTAGATATTTTTATTATAAACTATAGCTCCAAATAAACGTCATTAACAATGAAAAAATTTTGATAATTATTTTAAGAAAAGTGCTGCGTCGAATTAGCCAAAACTACATTAATTTACAGTATTTTTGTTAAAATAATATATCTATTAATATAGAGTGATATCCCACAAATAATTTGAAATTATATAGATTCATATGTTTAAATTAAAGTGAAGTGACCGATCCAACTGCCGATACGATTTACTTAGAGAAACAAAAAGGAGAAACCAATTTGGTGCGCTACCCATGATCTACAGCTAAACACCTCACAAGTTGCTCTCTATACATCATAAGATTTGAAACTGTTACTGAATCTAAGTGGTAACTTAGTTGGATACTTATTTGGCAATTAATATTGACCGATGCTGAGCATTTAATGTTATACAATTGTTTTGCGTATAGTGAGAATTTAAAATCTGGTATATATAACAGTTTTCATTTAATTCAAACGTCAAACTATGTATTAATTCGATATCCTGTCTACCTAAACAATCAGCGTATCTTCTCTTCAATTTAATCTTTTCAACTATCAAAGTTGAATCGAGTGCGATGTTTGATATGTAAGACATAACACAAGAATACCATCGTTTGCTCTCACGGACGATCACAGATCATATAACGTAGCGTCGGAAAAGACAATACGGGTTGTGGAAGCTAACTTTCCCTAGCAGATGCAGCTTTGTCCTAGATATTTACAGACCGGATTTATAGCTAGTCCCAAGGCTAACATCGATCCACACGAATTGGCCAATTGATGGGGCAGGTAGTCCGCTCGTCAACTATATAGTCGGTACACTGACTGTCTAGTTGACCTGACATTTTTCTTAAGAATCTCTGCAAATAATGTATTGCCGTAGGAAACCATGGGATAAATGCTAAATGCTCATTCAACACCACCCATCAATTCAGTCAGGTAACGAAGGTCAGGCAGCCGGTGTGACGGGGCAGTCGGTCTATAGACATGTTGCGCCCTTGCAGGAAGGGGGGGGGGGGGGGGGGGTCGCTGTCATTCAGTAATGCTTCTTAATACAATGCACGCTTTATTTATTTAAATGTTTATTCTTATAGAAAAGCCATCAGATTCCGACAGAAAAAATCTTTCGAAAATAAAAAATACATTTCATCAGATATAGCCATTTGTTTATAACAGATAATATTCGTTGAAAAGGTGTTTTCACATTGAAATTTTGATAGTTCATGGTTTTACGATTATTTAAACGAAACTGATATTAATATAGCTTAACGGTAACGAAATTATACATTTTTGAAAAGTTTTCATACAGTTAATTCATAATTAATTAATTCATAAAATGAATTAATTGTTTGAAATTGTGGATCGATTCAAAATTTTTACTGAAGTTCATTAATATATGGTCAATACGAAGTTTCATGAAATGAAAATCGGTCACCTAGACCCCCTGAGCTGATCGTAATAGTCTGGTACTATCCATGCAAGGCATCATCACCGTGGACCCTATTGGTAAAAAGGGACCGAGAATAGTATGATTAGCGTTGAACAATTAACTTCTCGATTAATGCATAAATGAACTCCACGAATTCATTTCAAAGCACATCGGTAGAAATGTCATGGACTGATGATCGAAAAAAATATAATATAATTAAAATTAATTTTTCTTTGGATTGTTATGCAATTTAGCCACAAGTACTATGAAAACTGTATGAAATGCTACCTATGGTAACGTAATTTGGAAACGAAGTGGATGAGTTTTTTGCGTTAATGTGCGTGCATGTTTCCATGGTTTTTTCATATCAAAACACGCTCCAAACTATACTTTTGAACGCTACAATTAGTTTCGATAAATGTCCTCTAAAATACATCGCAACAAATCCACGAACTGATTAAAATGTCTGGCGTTCTGGAAATAAGCAAGAAAAAAGCCTATATGTTAAGCTCAAGCGTTACAATAACCCCAAACGTTGGCTTTGATAATGCAAACATGTTTTTTGCTGTAACCTACTTATCGCGCATCACTCGCGAATTAGTGAATTCGGATAAAGAGCGCAATAGCAGCGGCCCGTTGTGTTTGCACAAATATTTGCGTGACAATTGTCACGTTGTTGAACTTACCTCAGGTCGCTCGAAAGCGTGCTTGGCACAAAGTCGAGCGGAGGAAATGGCTCACGCGGGCTTGATAGTCGAATGGACGTAGGTGAACTGGCGAGAGCTTGTAATGCAAGCGTGGCGTTAGCGAGAACGAAAAGCGGCGGCAAGGCGAGGCGTAAGGCGTGCTACCAGGCATCCGATAGGTCTCCCAGTGGCGTGTGCATTTATAGCAAGGAATATGGCACCGCGGAGTCGCGCACTCTGCGATCGATAAATGGCACCCAACTGCGCCAACGCGTGGCTCCCTCGCGCCGCGTGCTGCACAATGGCCCGGCCGCCAGCGCCCAATCCACTCGGCCTCGTGTGCCACATGGCTTCCGGCGCCTACCGCTCGCGCTCGCTTATTTATCGCCCACATTACTATTTTTCAGCTATAACAAACTGTGCTCTGTCATTCAATCTCACTTTTGTCATATTCTTTCAGAACTCTCATTGTTAATGATTAAATTTACCTTGAAAACTTACCTAATCAGTTGAACGACAAGCTTTCAACTGCACACTTTTCCCTTGCACTTCTCATTGTATTTTATGATACATAATTTGGATGAAGTGAACGCGCAAATTATTACAAGTCATTTTCAAAAATTGCCGTGCAGTTCATTAGGTCATTGCACAAAACTACTCTAGACAATGATATCTTATTACTGCTGTATTATATCTTCTTTCACTAATAACTTAATCAGCAATTACTTTCACATCTTTAAATTTCTGAAGTATACGTAATAAGGTAATGTTTCTTTTGTAGGAACGTCGATGTAAATAATAAATGAAATTAATTAATTGTACAGAAATTGGCATTTAATTTCCAACGACTACAAATGCAAAAACGCAAACAATAATATTACATAAACTTTGTATCGAGAAAAACGTTAATGTGACACAAGGTCTGTAACAAAAATCAGCTTAAAATTAAATGAAACAATAATAATGTTCATAACATGTGAAATAAAATAAGTAGAAATGATAGGTTTCAATTTTATACGCAATAATATCGTTTAAAAAATAGAAAAAAAAATGACTTAGTGTAGCTGTTGAACAATTGTGTTTAAACGCAACGTAAACAAGCCGAACTTATGAGTTTCTTTCCCTAAATTGAAGAAGCACAAGGATATCTTCAATGTATCCTCGTCGACTCGTTCCACTTTCTAATTGGAAACAACCAATCCAGAGGAGTTGTAAATAAAGAGTCGTCAACTAAAATGTCTTTTGAATTTTTTTCATCCTTTCTTTTTAATGTATCTTGCAATAGTACAGTATAATATTAATTAAATTAATAATATTAAATATTATTTTGTTGTATGCATTGTGGTGACCGGGTAAGTTACAGGCGGGACTAGCTGGTGACCTTTGTAATTAGCGCTACCGCTTCACTTTCTTTTATTGTTTTCATCTAATTTTCACGCACACTCTCATACTCTCGTTCATTACTCTCTTTAACGAAGTCTTTAATTTGTTTCTTAATTCATTACAATGCTTGCGCGTACCTACATTATCCATCAAATTCTCGTCTATTTCACTTTTTTTTTCATTTATATATATTTTTTAATTTACTACGTTCTTGGCAGCGTTGAACAACACATTGTAAAATAGATATCTTAGGAAAGATTTACAATTAAAGGGGCGGGGGGTGGGAGCAGAGAATCGGCTTTGGGATGCACTGAACTTAAATTTATTTGACGCTTAAACAATTATAACCCTTTGTTCGCGAATGCTAAAGTCAACATGAAACAAGAATCATAAGTAGAACCAAATGATTGGTGCTTTGTTTTGTCCATCTTAAAGGCACAGGCAACGAGTGGCACAAAATATACAAATTACGCCTCATTTGCGGAATACTATGCAAAGCCTTTCGAAAATCTCAATCATATCGGTTAATATTTTGTCTTTGATACACACGACTGAAAGTAAAATTGCTTGCATCAAGCTAATTGGCATCTATGTATTCGTCTTAGTATGAAGAAGACAAATACATTTCTCCGGCCGTGTGTATTTGTCGAAAGGCCAAGTCTGTACTTGCAACAAGATTTCCACAACGACCCAAGCCTGTGCTCATCAAATTTCATTAGGATTAATAACATACATTTTACACTGGTTTTAATATGATTTTAAAATAGGAAATCGGCATTTCTAAATTAAAGCATCTGCATATTTACACTGACATAAGTATTAATTAATGCAGAACACGTATCGTATAAGATTTTATCAAGCAACTGTTTTTAATTTTATAAATTTCCCACAGTCTGCCTGCAGCGATGTAAAGCTTATAAATATGATGTAATCTTGATAATATTTATTCTTCTTCGTATTATCATAAAAAAAAAAAGCAAGAGTGATCAGGACCAATCTGCATACCAGATATTGTCAAGATTTTCATTTCAGATACGTAAATAAAAAGAAAAGGTGCACTGATTTTAAAATATTAAAATAGCCTTTTTATGTGGCCGTAAAATAATATAGAAGATTCTTGCGATTTCTATGAAAATGTTTAATACTTAATGATTGAATTTGAATACGGAATACAATAATAAAATTCCTCATAGACTTGGTGTGACGGATCTTTATTTAAACTAAGGCGAGTATGTAGCATCATGATTAACAGCTATCAAAAAATGAAAACTTATTCTTACAAATAGGGAAGGAGGACGAGCTTGAACACTTTATCTGATTATCGAGCTAAATTTCATGTAGGCTATTTACGAACGATGCCCGCCTTTCAATTGAACAACCTAATTCGCTCATATATTTCCACCGCTTTCTCTGCGTGAAAAATTGGAATGATGTGCGCACTATTTTTTATCACACTTCATTGTTTTCTCAATTTCTTCCCGGTCAACGTAAATTACTTGGGAAGTAGTTGGACGCGTCTAAATATTTCGTGGAAACCATTTTCAAAAGGTCACGATCATTTACAGACAGATCGGCGCAAGACAAAAAGAAACTATAGTAAACTTAATTTTGCAACGATTCGAGAATCCGTTCTTGTTACGAATATATGAAAAATATTTTACGCTAAAATGTTGCAGCTTCTAAGCAATTTTTATGAAAGTATACCATTCACTTATGGCATTTTGCTTTTAGAATTTTACATCTTGTAGAGCGAAAGATTATTTACAAGCAAAAGTGTCGGACTATCAAATGGGATTCGCGAACAAAATATTTAGACGTGACGATCTCAAATAATTATAAAAGTGTTATTCATTCTCTCTTTTTCTGCTTCTTTCTTGGCTTTCCGCTCTTTCCGTCTTTTAGTTCATTCACGCTCCAATTAGCCAATTATTACATATCGTGTCTCAAGTATTGTAAGATTTTCCATGACATTCGTAATTTCAAATAACTCGCAAGTTTATCGGTGTCACTTTATTTTGTATAATATTTACACAATTTTATCTAATCATCGCTAAATGTTTAGTTTCCATTTTACTTCATTATACTGTATTCTTTACTGTTACTTATTTTTTTGAATAATTATTATTTTGCTTTTATCTTCAAGTAGCACAGGAGAAAAATTCTCCTGTTGTTTTCGTTAGCCGACTCGTTTTTGTAATAAGAACAACCGCTGGAATTAGTACACAATTACACAAAGAAATTAGTTGAGAAGGGGGCTGGGAGACACTCGTTCGAAGACGCACGATAACGTATATAGTAACTATATATATCAAGTTGCCAATGCCTTCAAAATTGAAGAACGATGAATATAATGAACGACGATGATAATAACATTTTATATTCGATGGCGATGTAATAATGTTCTGTAAGATACATAGAGGTATTTTGCAATAAAAATTAAAAAAGATTATCAACATTACTTTGAGGTAAGCGATATATGCTGCTTTATTTCCATTTTTTTTGACGCACATGCTGTTATATTCTTAATATATTTTCTTATAAACGGATCAAATGGACTTTCCATCCATTTTTCACGCTTGCTTGAGCTTTTCTTTGCATTGCTGGTACGATTTCATGTTTAAAAAGTCACATTTGTTGGGTCTGTATATCGGTTACGTGAGCATCTATTTTGTGAAATATTTTAGTTTCAAACGTATTACTAAATAAATAATATGTTAATGAAAAATTATCTCGTCGCATAATTAAAAAATTCAACAATAATCAGCATAACTGACGTTCGAATATTCTTTATCAAAATATTTACAATACAATTAAAAATCTAATAAAATTCAAAAATCAAAAAAGTTATTCTATAATAGACAGGAAGATTACGTTACATAGATTTTTAACAAACGAAAAATTCAATGGAAGATTAGTCGGGCAATAAATAATCGAAATCGAAGAAGCATTTTCTACATGCTTTTGGAAGCGTTTGACGATCATAAACATATGCTAAAAAATCTTTGAACTAGGAACATACGTAATTCATTCTGCCATAAAGCCCAATTAGACGATACATACCTGCATATAAATAATATGCATCTTTTTTCAACGCAAATGGCGCTATATCAATTCTCGTTCTACAAACGAACAAAACAAAGACAGTGGTTTGAAAAAAAAAGAAAACAATGCCGCATCTCCGCTCATTTACTTCGTTTAAATCTACAATCCCTCAAGTATTATTTTCATGTTTCTTGGAATTATCTATACACCTAAAGGAATTAAACAATTAAACTCAACCACCCGATAACCCATAGTGTGACGTTGCCGATAAAAATCATTCTACAAAAGCTCTCCCATATATGTACTACTTCTGGACAAAACAACCGTAAATCCTGTAAAAGCGCGGCACAACGTTCGCACAACCCTCTGCATTCGCTCTTTCTTTCTCTTTCTCACGTTTTTTTTTGTTTTATTAAATTGGACGTAGCAAAAAATATCCGTCTAGGTATCTTACGTCACGGCGTGAAAGTATAAGAAGAATGTCAGATACCGACAATACCCGAGGGGGCACGACGCGCTTTTTTATATTTTGTTTTTTTATCTTTAATGAACCGTCGCGTCCTGCGTGCGCTTTTTTTTATTAAATGTGTTATTCACGCATTGTTTCATGTTTTCTTCTCTTATTTTTTAAATTATTTTCTTGTCGTGTATATATGCAATGTTCAACGCGACGTACGTGTACACATTGTCTCGCACGCGCACTCAACAAGCGTCATCATTATAAAAAATTGACCTGGTGCAACGTATGATTTTTGCCCGCCTCGATCATATTATTCCTCTGCCTCGTTATACAATGATATTTTCTAAGCTTATTTTTTCTCCCTATCTCTTTTTTCCTCGGTTTTTTGTTCGAGTCGACATGAAAGTATACGGCGTTACGTGTGAGTGTGTGTAAGAGTGTGTAGCGTTTGTGTGTTCATAAGTGTGTCGGAAGCATTAAAATCTGGCTTCTCTCGTATTATCGTCAACTTACAGTTTTCTTTTACACCTTTCACTCCATTCCTCTAGCTCTCTCTCTCTCTCTCTCACACTTTCTTTCGCTCTTTCTCTCACTCGCGCCACCTCAGAGCTGCATTTTATCTGTTCTGTTGTTTCGCGCGGCGTTAAAATAACGAAAGTTTCGAATTGCTTATGCATCACGCGAAATGACCTTTCCCTCTTTGTCTTTTATTATTTTAATGGTATTTAACAGCGTTTGGTTTGTTTGTTTTTCCCTTAGCAATCTTTGTTTAAACGTCGACACGCTATAAAAATGCACTACGAAGCTTGTCAGTTTGTCTCTTGTTTAAAGCATACATTTTTTTGTGGTTTTTCATTGTGTTTTTGTTACTGGAAGCTACTGTTTATCTCTTACCACACATTGGGTACAATTCGTTTAAATTACGTGTTTATTTTTATTTATTTATTTGTTTTTAAATGTTTTCCGATACGATGCCTGTCGCGTGCGTGCGTGCGCGCGCGCGCGCATGTGTGTGTGTGTGTGTGTGCGCGTGTGTGCATGTGTCTCGCGGTCATTCAAATTTGTCGCCAATACATGGAGACGGCGAGGAGGATGGCGTTCGGTTGTCGTTGGCGGCCGACGAAGTGGTGTGTGTCGAGTCGTCGAACCGTTTGCCCAATAATCGCAGCACAGTAATAATAATAATGCCCGCGTTGAGGGCGCGGGGAGCAGGATGATGCGCGGTCCGGAGCGAGAGAGCGTCAGCCGGCAGTCTCTCTCTCGGGTGAACGTTGCTGCTGCTGCTGCTGCTGCTGCTGCTGCTGCTGGTGCTGCTGATGGTGGTGCGTGCTCGAGCAGTGGTGACGCCTCAAGTTGCCAGGACGAACGCGAAGAGGGTGACGCCCGGAGAGACGCAAGCGAAGAACCGCAACCTCAGCGCGCAGCACTTCCGGCGTGGCTGTTGAGGCAGGCCGCCGCGAGCGAGCCCCGGTGACGAGCGGCGACGGCACGACTGCAGGCTGCTGCGGCTGCCGTGGAATATCTGCTGGTGGCTGGCGCCGGTGGGGCCGAGGCCGACCGCGGCGTTGGCGCCGTTGCTGCTGCTGATGCTGCTGCTCTGTCGTCAGACAATCATGCGGCACATTCGCAGCACGAACGACAGCAGCGAGAACCAGGCGGTGCGCGCCCAGCTACTGTGCGACAGCACGACGCGCACCAGCAGCAGCAGCGTGCCCAGCTGCACGGCCTTGTGCAGCCAGTACAATCTGCAAGCAGTCGGCGGGCGTTGGAGGACTGGCTGGCTGGCTGGCTGGCTGGACGACTGGCCGGCGGGGGCCGCGGGCGCTTACCTGGTGATGTGTGAACGAGCGGCTGGTAGTGTATCGGGGCTCTCCTTCAGTATGAACTGCCGGATGCCGAGAATGTAGTTCTCGAGGTAGGACGGCCAGTCGATCTGCCTGACGTCGAACGGAAATGTCCGGCGGTCCTCGTCGCTGAGCTGCTCGTTGAGGCGCCTCACGTTGTCGTCGCGGAAGTTCCACTGCTGCGTGCTGAAGTACTCGAGGCACTTGGCTGCCTTGTCGAGCTTCGCCTGGACGCGCATCATGATGGGCTTGCCACCGCGCAGGTTGGTCAGCAGGTCGATCGCGAAGGCCGGCACGATGTGCTGGAAGGCCACGCAGACTCGGTTCAGCGAGGCCGAATTGCGCAGACAGCCGCCGGGGTACCAGAGGGCTCCGTTCGTCGGGTGCATGCGACTGTACTTGAACGACAGGTCGACGAAGTGCTTCCAAGTGATGGGATTCTGCCGGCCGGTGCTGCAGTTGTAGACGCTGATGCTCTCGGTGCGGTGCAGCGCCGTCCGCCACGCCGCCACGATCATCAGGTTAATGACGATGTCCACCGGCACCAGATCCGCCACCTTGTCCTCGTGGCACATCATCGTCCTGCGCATCAACGGTAAGCGTCAGCTTGGCGCGGTTGCGCCTTTTGCGGGGCGAGAATCGAGAGGCACGATACCTGAAGAAGCCCTTGCCGACGGCGGCGATGATGCCGGTAGGCCCGTTCCAGTTGTCGACCCATCCGGCCACGGGCTCCTTCAACGACGACAGCACGATGGACGGCCTGACAATGGCCAGCGGCAGACTGTTGCTCTCACGCATGAGCATGCTCTCGGCGAGGGCCTTGGTGAAGGTATAGGTGTTGGGTCGGCCGGCTATCAATTTGGGCGTCAACTCTTCCACCAAGCTGTCGTCCATCCACGTCGTGCACGAGATTATCTGCTCGGGGTCGTGGGGCGCCGGATAGATCACCTCGTCGACGTCCCTGCGATCGCAATTGCAGTACGCCGTCGACACGTGGATCAGCGCCTGCGACATTCGTTTACGTTTCTCATTATTCCTGTCAAATTAGTTACGAGCGCAGCGCAGCTAAGTGCGCCGAGCCAAGTCCAAGCTCATTCGATCTGTCTTCATTCGCTTCAATCAGCCCGTCAATCTCAATTTACACGCAGCCTAGACCGCAAACAAGCGTTCATAAGTCAATAATCGGAATATCAGTGAGCTGTTCCGGATAGAAACGAGCATACGACAAGAAAAACAAGTATCCGACCGGCGCGAGCCTTGTTGCATAGACGTAGGGGAAGAGGAGTCAGTCACCTCCAGATTGTGCATGCGATGGCAGAGCTGTACGAGGCGTTTGGTGCCGAGCATATTGATGGTGACGGAGAGCTTGAGTGCCTCGTCGAATTTCACCGTGGCAGCCGAGTGGAAGACCACGGATACGCAGCGGATCAGCAGGTCTTGATCCGCCTCCGAGATCCCCAATTCCGGCTCGGTTATGTCGCCGGCCACTGGCACTATCTTCAATAGCTCGTGCGGGCAGTCTTGCCGTAATTTGTCGAACAGCTGCAAACAGGCAAGGTGCCTTTATTTCGTAATTGATCGATCGATCTCTACACGTAATATCTTATTAACCCATCTTAATCCGGTTATATCGATCCAAAAAATGCGCGATTTCTCACTGAATCCTTCGAATTCCAGCTGTAATTGCCGGAAGCGTTATAAAAAGCGCTTGTCGGGCAATCGATGAAAATATACTTGGATACATATAACCTATTGAATTTTCGTTTTACCGCACGCCTATACATGATAGATGCATTCGCGAAATGAAATTGGGAATATTTTTCCATTTTTCGGATGAAGGGTATTCGAATGAAAAAAAAAAAAAAAAACCACGAGCTTGTCCATTTCTTTTGGTGTTCGAGCTCGCTTTTGTTGCATTGCCAGTCGGTTCGTCGTACGTGATAGTTAAACGAGTGTGAATATAACTTACTGGAGCATTAAGTAATTCCTGAAGCCTTTGCTGGACGCCTTGGCCGCGTTTTGGCCTCATGAGCAAGTAGATGTTCTTGATCCCAGGACATGACCTGAGCAGCTTCTCGACGAGGACCTTGCCCATGAAGCCGGTGCCGCCAGTGATGAAAATCGAGCGATCCCGATAAAAGTCCTTGATCGACGTGTAACCAACTCCCGGCATTGCTGTCATCTTATATTGCTGCTGCTCTCTCTCTCTCTCTGGAATTCTTCCTTCTTGACGCCTCGCACTTGCCTCACGGAAGCTTTATTGTGAATTGATCGAAGACGGACTTTTTTTTTCTTGTTGAAAAAGAGGCGACGAAAAATAGGTTGGGAGGCAAATTTCTATTATGCGTCGATGGTTTTCCAACTCAGTGCCTGATGCCTCCTTCCGTCCTCTCCCTCCTCGACTTGCAGAGCTGACGACGATTACGATGGCGTCTTGAAATTTCCACGCTCATTTCGCACCGGCAAAGACGCTCCTGCACCTGTGATCATAAAACGACAGCAATTTATTAGTAGACCGACTTTTAGATGTAGTTCTTATTAAATTCCATGCGCTAAATCTTAGCGTTTTAAGGACTTGATACGATTGGAAATTAGGTGTCCACGCGTTGACACGAAAGTATGCACTCTCAAATGAAGCACGCAGAAGCAGTGAGGTGAGCAGAACGGTGAGTGACGTGGATATCGTTTCAAACTTTTAATATTTAACGATTGTCGGTAGTGGACACCATTTCACTTGAATAGACTCGACACTTAATGTAATTCGATACGTTTTGAATGGCGCAACTGGATTTTATCGAAATTCAATGCATAGAGAACGAAGCGAGTTGGAGCCACTTTTTTTTCCTATTATTCGCATGGAATTTTATTCGAAAGCGCACACTTTTCCATCGTACGCAGGGAAATTAATTCGCTTAACTGCCACGAGGCTGTCGGTCAAATTTAACGAGTATTCGATTAAGCTGTGATTTGCGCGTCATTGCCCCTCGACCGCATATTTTAAACCAACTCTGTATAACGAGGAGAGCATCGACATTCGTAGTGTGCATTGAAAAAGATAATGAAACGTAGCTTACTAACGTACAATCGCTCGAAACTTTCATTAATAATTCATACAGATTGTTATTTAGTTCGCTCATCGCGGCGGACTGACAGCGTCGCTAACAATTTCATCCCGAAATTAAGTTTCGACAACGGCAGCTCACGACAATTGACCCAAACGAACGCTGCTCGTAGCAAGTGTCAGATTAGGCTCGAAAGCCACAATGCATTAAATGTCGTTGTACTTTGAAAAAGTACGTCCACGCAGACACACGCCGAGCAAGTTCGTACGTTCCCCCGGGGAATGGTGTATCGCATGATTAGCCGCGTTAACCGTGAGAGAACTGGAGGCCACGTGCAGATTCTTTTGCGGGCACGAGGTGTAGCCCGTTTAATTAACGCGAAAAAGTCAACAGCGCTCTCTCTCTCTCTCTCTCTCTCTCTCTCTCTCTCTCTCTCTCTCTCTCTACTGAATTACGCGGGGAAGCGACAAAAGTTTTTGAGCTTGACACTATATCGCGACGACAAACGGGAAGAAAGGTGCGGCGCCGGTTGGCATACGCCAACTGCTAAGTGAAAGAATGTATAAGTCGGTGGGTGTATCGAAAAAAAAAAAAAAAAAATACTATGAAACGCGCACGCTTATCGCTGCGATAAACTGCCGCTATGCTATTACACACCTGCGACATTCTCGCGCGTGCGCGCACATGTTGTATACCGGCTACTACGTAACTTATTTTTTTATTCGTTTTCAGCCGCAACTGCCGTGTTTTTGTGGGTTACCAGGCTCTTTTTTTTTGTTCGTTGCGTGAGTAAAAGTGGAGCAATTTGGTTGTTGTTCGTAATCTGTGCTTTCAAGATTTATTTTATAAGTTAGAGGCACGCATGCATAATTTGAATTTCGTTCGTTATTTAATCAGAGGCTGTTCCGTGTTGTATCGAATGATCACTCGGGGAGACTGACGATTCAATGATTTAGCAATGGTTATAACCCACTGTAAGACTACGCAATTATAAAATTGACACTACGAAGGAGCTTGATTGTGAATCTGCGGCCGTTGATTGTGATGTAAAAGTACAACTGTTCGGCTTTTTTCGCTAGACTTGGCGCAGCTGCTGATAAAGTGGAAGCGAAGGCAGCTAGGAAAATAATCGGCCAGTAATAGAAGCAGAGAGCCAGCGTTGGCGATAAGCCGCGGCGCGCAAGCTAAAAAAGCGTCCGATTCGCGGTTTATCCGAGCGATTAGTCGTCGCCGAGGAGCAGCGCTGCAGAAGAGTCCGCGTGGATATCGTTCCCGGGCAAAGAGATATCGCAGGGAGGAGATAGCAAAGCGAAGCGCAGAAGCGAGGCTCGTCTACGATATAATTCGAAGATTAGCGGATGAGGTTGCTCGCGGGCCACGCTCATTGTGCTACTTAGTCTCGCGGTAAGCCGAAGTGCCAATTGAGCGACGAGCCCGGCGAAATTTCGGCGAGAGAGAGAGAGAGAGAGAGAGAGGGCGATCCGCTGCGCGCCGACCGGGCAGAGAGGCAAGACCTTGATCCGCGCCCACGCGACGACAGACAGGCGAGAGAGCCGGGCTACGGGGCACGCATCGATAAAACGCGCTTCGGTAAGGAGGCAGCAGACGACGCAGGCGCGCCAGAGGCGGATACACACCGAGTAAGAGGGACTACACGGACGCGTGCACACGACCGCTGTCGCGCCGCCGCCGCCGCCGCCGCCGCTGGGATTCTAGGCCAGCGCTCTTTCGGTCAGGAAGGCCATCGGCGTGGCCGACCCCGTTATATAGCCAGCGCCACCGCTGGCAGCGAGAGTCCGAGAAAGAGCCGTTATGCAGCTGCGTCGTCGTCGTCGGCGTCGTTGTCGTCGTCGAGATCGAGAGCAGCGGCAGTAGCAGTGAAAAAAAACTGAAGACCACAAGGTGGTGCGGCGGGGAGGAGGGAGCTCGCGCCTGCGCGACATTGTTCCCTTGGGATCTCGTATATTCGTGTGCGACATCGCTTCGTCAATGCAAGTGCAGCAGCCAAGCATACGCGAGAATCGGACTGAGACTCAACGATCACTATTGTTCGATCTGTTACCGACGGATTCTAGTTGTCCGCGGGCGCGATGACTAACCTTTAATATATGGATTTTCCGTTAAAGCGCCAAATAAACGTTGCGTTAATTCAGCTGTTACCCCTGCGACGACAGGTCTAATCTCGTATCTCTTCTCGTAAAACCGTCGATTCGATTGAATAATGCTCTACGATTTTCAAGAGAGTCTTTTGGCAAAAGTGAATTATCGCTGGCCAGAAACGCCGAAGAGTTTGTTATCGGACGAATAATTTAGTGTTTACGAGGTGCTGCCTGCGAACTTGTGCCTGCCGAGTCTCTGCGCTGCTTAAAGTCGTTTGATTGTTGGGCTCCTCTGAAGATTGTATACCGCGCGAGGGAACTTTCTAGCCTTCAACGTGTAAAACGAGCCTTCGTGCTTGAAACTTGGCCGCTGTAGCCGCTGGTGCTTTTGCCAGGCTGATTAAACAACGCCCCCTTGAATTACACATGGTCGAAATTTTTCGAGAAAACTTTAGGAAATTGCCGGTATCGGTTATAGCGAGAAAAGGAAATGATCTTCCGAGTAGTAACGGGCTATTTGGCCATCGATTTGAATATGCAAAAGCTGTTTTATCTCGCAGTCGAAAATTGAAAAAAAACGTTGGGATGAGAAACGTTCATTAGCAGTTACAACGGCGTACGGCTGCACTGCGCGAGTAGCTGTTTACGCTCCATTTATCGTAGCGTTCGCGGAGGACTGTGCTAAAGCATTGCAGTGCAGTGATCTGAGCATTCGAGCGAGCGTAATGCTGGATCACTCGTCCGGCAATACTGACCTGCCAATGAAACAGGGATGGACCTGCTCTAACGCATTAATTAAAAATCTCCGTTTGGGAATCCGATGCATAATCACGCGTGCATTTCTCATTACAACCAAGTAAACGAATAATCACGTCTGAAAAGAAGGAAAGAAAAAACTAGTGTATGCTGAAGTAGCCAAGCGGCGGAGAGCTTTTTGCCGCATATGCGCTCTCGCAGTGAAAATGTGCTGCACAATCGATATGAGAGAGGAAGAGCCGAGTAGTAGCGTGTTATTGTGTCACGCGACAGAGAGAGAGAGAGAGAGAGAGAGAGGGGGGGGTTGTTTCGCTCTTCCGTTCCAGCGAGCATTAATTCGGCGAAGGTTGTCCAGCAGCAGCGTTGCTAACTCGTTCGACACGCCAATTTTATTGTTTGTCACGCAGCTATTTCTGTATTTTCGTTAATTAATTGCTGCCTTGGCTATATTCATCCCAACACGGGGGTAACGACACTGCCTCGAAAATGTAATGCAGCTCATCCCTAGCAACACTACCTAACGACCATTCGACACGATGGTGCATTTTTCAATTGCGATCGAATTAATTGCAAACTGCCAATTCATTTGACTCGCATAACGCACCCGAACGATGTGCACGTACGGATCGCCGGTGCGTCTCGCGTCTTGCCCTACCTCGTAAAACGAGTATTATGGGGGAATAAAGGCGAACGAGGGAGGGAGACAACACGCACGTGTGAGCGAGATCCGATAAAAGGTGCGACTGTTACGTCAGATTTTATATAAACGCCAACGATCACTATCACGGCATTAGCAGGGAAGAGAGAGAGAGAGAGAGCTGATAAGCGATAACGTCCGAGACGCTGACTGTCGGAAGTAGCTTTGTCAATTGTACATGTGCACCACAGTCCAATCAAGTACAGTTGTTAAGTTCGCTTGATACTGCTCTTGTTTATTCGGTGCGTTCGATCGTCGACCGATGCTTGCGAGCTAGTTGGCATATTTGCGAATTTGCCGGCAACGCCTCGGCACCTGCGCGTCACGGCTAAATGGCATTTCTCTCGCGTGTCCTTTTTTTCACGTTGGTATAGTTTTGCGCGTGCGCGCGCACGTCGCCAACTTTAGCCAGCCATATTAAAATTGAAGCGCGGCTTCTCGACACATCCGAAACTTTCGCGCGCACGCACACCGCTGAAAATGAGGTTTTTGATAAGTTTCGCGATGCCGCGTCGCGACGCAGCTCAAAGCAGCCTTATTCGCGTATCGTGCTTTGCTCGTCTCAACCTCGAGATCCTCCGTTTCACGCGGGTCCGACTCTATCCTCGCGCTTTTCACAACTTTTCGCGCGTCACGTCATATTTTATTACTCGCCCGTGATTGAAATTCCACCAACTTGGCGCAGCTCGATAAATTTACAATTTGCGCTAGGCGACAGTAATCAGAGAGCAGTGGCGTGACTGATTAATGTTCGAAAATCGTCTGAACGAGTTGAAAACGTACCTCCTGCCTCTGAGACGAACAAAAAACACCGGAAAAGCGTCTGCGCTCATCCGAGAGAGTATATAGTAGCAGCACGGCGAACA